TATAAATGTGTAGTAATTATGCCAAACGTGACAGACAGTTTTCTTCATGTAGGTATATAGAGTATACATGTAATTCTATCGGTCAATGAGGGGATGGTTGTGTATCACGTAACTCACATGTACATGTACAAACAATGTAAGATGCTATCATTAGGGCTTAAATTTTGGGGCCTCCATTTTCAAGGCAAAAATTGATAAAATTGCCTTGAGGTATAGTACATGTAATAGTATAGGGAAAAACTAGTATTTTTGAAAGGGCACTGAGGCAAATTACTTAGACATTGAGGCAATTGCTCCATGAAGTTTATGTCGTATATCGTATGTCGTAATGTTTTTTACATTATTTCATGTAACTGTATTGTAGTAGATTTTAGATATCTAACTTGTTATGTTTATTTTAACACCTTTATTGCATTTCATAAACCAAAATAGATATGTAATTCATTCTATAAGGTTGTAATAAAGAATTATCTTATCTTATCTTATATCACTTATATAATCTATGAGTGTACTAGATGACAATGTGACTGAATGTACCATACAATTTACATTCAGGGTTATAGCACGAAAATAGAAAGTGCCTTACAAAAAACTTATTAAAATGAAAGATAAGTCATGAATCTGTAACCACAGACTTGCTATGTACAGTTGATTATTTATAATTATTTTGTAATATAATGGTAATTTTCAATCAAAATTAAACAGCTTTGTAGAAATTTTGACAAATTAAATTACCGGTATATACAAATGTACCTGTCCAAAATGTGGAATGCTTGTCTAAAATAACTTGTCTAAGGTACATGTACGCAGGCGGCTGGCTAAAAGCCTGTGTACACTCAATTCTCAACATCTTAAAGTATAGTCCGGGCATAATTTGACCTTCAAGCAAGCTATCAGCTGACTTTGCCTTTTAATAATAACTTTCAAAGCCAGTTACATTGTCATTAATAATTTTATAATTTTAACTTTTTCTTTGTCGAATTTTCGTTCCTAATTTTGTTTGTAGACAGCCATTTATTCCTAGTAACACTACTCTTCACATATGTGACATGTTCATTCCAATTGCAAATTAAAGCACTACAGCCGGCACATGTTTTTGTGTCAGCAAACAATGTATTTCATTGTAAAATGCATAGCTGATAATTGAATACAGCAACTACTGAGGTGCTTTACAGATATATGACTGCACACACACACACACACACACACACACAGCTGAAAATTTCTACTACAGTTTAAATCACCAGAACTTCACAACAAACAATTTGCCACTTACTGTGATCATGACACAGGTGTCAATTATTTTTTTTTTCTTTTAATTTTTAAATTAAATTTTAAAAAAATTTAAATTAATAGCTCAAATACGAGTTATGTACGATATCAAGCCTCATTAATTGATTTGATATTACAATTCACTGCATAATGTCTTAGCATGAAATGTAGTTAAAATTAGTTTCACCAGTATGAATTATGATGATCACATCCGTCCATCAGCCACTGATATATATACAAGTGTTTTTCCACCAATCAAAATAGATTCATTTATCAAATTAGCATATACATTTGATTTTGATCACATTAATTTGCAAATTTATTAGAAGCCCAAGGCAGAGAGACTATCAATTCTATCCCTGGGCTACCATTAGCAGCCGACTGGACAAGCAGAATTAATACATTGTTTTCTATATTGAAATAACCAGTTTGTTTAGATTAAATAGTTTTTTTTAATTCTTGTTTTTTAATTACATGTACATGTACAACTAAGTAGAATTAATAGTCTAAGAGTAAGGGTACAGAAACTGCTGCACTTACTAATGAAAGTCTGTGATTTTTTGAACAGTTTTTTTTTGATGAGTGTGTTTTGTGTAAATAACTCACAAGGACATACAGACAATGCAATGCATGTTTCAATAGCCACACATGTACATGTACGAAAAAGTGGAGAAACCAGTCTTCATGAATCAGACAATAGTCACCATGCATTATAGAGGACTATTGTAAATATTGTTGTCAGTACTATTAAGTAAGGGTTGTTAATACACTGTTTAGTCGGTGAAATTAGAAGTACATTGTATGTGTTTTTTTTAATTACAAATGATAATTTCTCGCATTAGTTATTTTTGAAATATGGAAGAATCATCACTACTGAAGTGGCTTTTAGGAAAACTAAATCAATGAATTTCATCACCGAACTTCTCATACATTCTCCTTGTTGTATATGGGTCTAAAATAATCTTAACCATTACTGTAAAATGACTAATTTTCACTGGGTTTAAATTTCACTGATTTACCATTTCAGGCATATTCAGTGGGTTTTAAATTCACGGTTTTATCATTTAGATAATATGTTCTATGCTAAATTTTACATATTCACTGGGTTTTCATTTAGCGTATTTTCCAGTTAGCGAAATAAGCAAAATTAAAACCCAGTGAACAATTAACCCCTTTACAGTATGAGACTTGGTATGGTAAATAAAGATTCTGAAAATAACCAATTAGGTGAACAACCTTTGCAAAATTGACAAGTGTATGTAACCTCATAAATGTACATGTAGTAATGATATAACATTAGAAACATATGTGCCCCCATCCCCACTGCTCCATCTCACTTACTCCATTGTTCACATGGGACATTTGACAAAAACAATTACGGTTACCAAACTTAAAAAAAAAATGTTCACATAAAGAAAATGTTACTAGAAAGTGACTAAAGGCAATGTTGCAGAACAAGGATGTTATCTCTGGATTTTGAGTATATAGCTAGTGGGTTATGTGTCATTGATATCTTTACATTCCCTGTCAAAAAAGATAGCAATAGGTATGGTTGAACACAGCGGAATAATGCTGTAGCCAAAACAAAATGGAAATACTATAAATAGCTCATATACACTGCATTTGTATGTATAGTACAAAATTCTCAAACCAGTGTTTTTTTTTTTTACTTAGCATCTCACTTTAAACATGTATGGTTTACATAAGACACTCAGATAAAATAATAGTGTTATTTCAGTAAGCAAGCTTTGCTTGAATTTTGCATGTTGCCCCTGTAATTATGTTAAATCTGGAAAGTGAGTACTAGAGGGTGACTCACTTCCTGTCTCTAGCTGCATGCTACACAATTTTTTCCCATGAAAATACATGTACATTTTATATAAAGTATGCTCGTAGGCTTTTGTATAAAAAAGTAGCAGTACCAGTATATATACCAACCCGGCAACATAATGCCTGATTCGCACTTCAGTTCCCTAATCCGACAGGGTAAAGATGAGTACATAAGTGTAAAGCTAAAAATATTTGTTTCGCTACTGGAGAAAACAATTTAAATAACGTAATTATTATCAAAAAATGATAAATTAAAATTATATGTATCATACAAGTTGTGCATGTAAAAATGCACAATATATTTTCAAACAGACAAGGATAATCATACATCATAATCAAACATCGTGATACTATTTTTTTTTTTTTAAATATTAGACTAATGGGAGCGGAGACTTTATACACGCTCCCTTTATTATATGATAGAGGGACTGCGCTTTGCATAAATATAAGTGGGTAGCTGTGTATCAAAGCTTGGGGGTCAAAAAGCTCAACATTTAGTTGGTAATAACTTAGAAGTCACAATTAAAAATTTCTTCAAAATGTTAAATCCCTACAAAAGGCTAATAAACAGCGGAGTTTATGATATTCATAATTAAGAGCTTAAAGGGGCACCTTCCAGTTAAGATTAATTTCACAACAAATTTAATTTAATTTACTTAAAATAACAATGGATAACAAAAGATAGATTAACATTGTAAACAACATAAACAATAGTGTCCCATGATTCTTTGGTGCAATCCATGGCATTGAGCGGTTCCCCTTTAAATAAACCCATGTTTAGATACTGACAAATATGCAATAAAGTTAAAATATATATAAATAAATTCAATGAGATAAATATATATTTAATTAAAAATATTTCACTACCAGCAACAGGCGATACATGTATAAGTGCAAATCGAACAATTTTTGTATTCAATCACCAGCAATACCATTACGGTAGCATAGGACAGTAGCAGGATTTGCAGACAATTTGGACAATTATCTATTTTTCATAAAAAGTGCATGCAATGAACTAAAACTTGGCTGCACTAAAAATTCAAAAACTACGATCGGGGAATTGCCTCATAATTTCTTAATGGAAAAATCAGCCAAGCAATACAAAATAAAACCTACTTGTAAGTTGAACATGAACCTGGACCAAATATAGAGGATTGTTATAACCAGGGGAATGAAAAATGTGGAGCACTCCTTACATACAAATAAATAAAAGACAAACCTTAGCATACCATGGCTGTCACGTTTGTCACTTCACTTCACCTCAGTGAAACGAGGGAATAATTCAATTATATAATTCCAACGTTGACACGAATGACAGATGAAGTAAAACTGTCACAACTTTCAATATTTGGAAGTTTACCAATTTAAACACAGCGTAAAAATTCCTCCCACAAATTTGATGGGACGAATACAGTAGATATCAGCTGACATGCCATCATCAAATGCAAATTAAGTATTTATAAAAACAATTCAGAATATTGCAGGGTTATATTTGAGTGGGTATAAAACTATCACAATAAAATAGTTGGTCTGTAAATAGTGTGCATGTGTTTACCGTATGTACACGTACATGTACTCGTATTAATGCAGTATTATAATTAGACGTGTATAAATAATACTGTACAATGTAGCAGTAAAAATTGTTTTTTGTTCATGATTGTCTTCTTTTATTTAAACTAGTTAACACTAGTTTTGAATGAAACCGACGCAAAAATTGGGAGAGCGAGACTAACAGCGAGGGCAATAATATTAACTCGGCGACACATTATCGGTACATCAGAGACTTAAATCTAAATTACTTTACAAAAAAAAAAAAAAAAAAAAAAAAAAAACTTGATGATATAAACCGACTGCGAAAAACTGAATGTTGATGTAATTCGCTCGCCGGTCGCTCTTACCTGGCAGTGGAAGGCGGCGTTGCTGGTCTTTCGTCCCCAGAGCCTGACGGCGTTGGTATCGTCTGCGGCGGTGTCGCTGTCGTCGCTTCGTTGTTTTGTTTTTCTTCCATTGTTGTTTCTTCGCTGGAATGCCTTTCTCCGTCAGAGCCAGTATCTCTGTCATTTTCCTTGACAAGTTCTAATAACGTCTTCTGTGAAATTGTCGTCATGGTTACTTATCAACTAACTAATAAAACCCTCAGAAAGATCTCCAGATTTCTATTCACAGGAACAATTTCACTCGAATTTTGTCAGCCATTTTGATTACCAGTGAACTTTGACCTGAAGTGAAAGTTCCGACAGTTCTCGCAAAATCGCGCGAGATTTCATATACCAACATTACCCACAATTCACTTGTTTCTAAGGCAGCATACCAAGCTTGTATATTCCCATGGCCGATTCAGACGAGGACAGGGGCAGAGTAAGCGTAATTCATACTGTTTTATTCGTTATTGATCGCTATTAAACGTCATTTTCCCAGTTGGATATGTTTCGTCTGACTTGTCGGGTCATATTTTCTGAAATTGATCAAAAACGTCCCGGGTCCTGCAGGGTGCACGCGAATTTTGATAGGGGTCGTAAGCGCGCAAAGGTTGTGTTCTTATAGTGTTTAAAAATCCGTATCAAAATATTTTGAAATTGTTTTATATTTATGATATTCTGAGGTTAATTTAGTTATCTCTCACATTAAAAATAATGTAAGAAATGCTGCACTGCAGGTCCTGTTTTTTTATCTCTCGAAAACTTTCTGTTTATGTTCTGTCACAGTCCCCCAGATGATTCTATGTTCTTGATATCCTGAATAATGTTGAGCTCTCCCGTCCGCCCTTGGCATTTGCGTGACCATATTTACCAGGTTCATTACTGAATTATTAAAAAAAATGTGTTTCATTTTCTTTAGACTCGGATTGTCGTTAATCAACCATACGACGAGTCATTGGAAGTACCAGACGCAGAAGAAGTTGCTTCTACTTACACCCCGACTCCAAGAGTGCCAGGTGCTGCAGGTAATATCATCAATAGGTTCCAGTCTGTACTGGCAACTGTGCAGTCTCGAAATTGTATAACCACAGTATATAACTGTTGATGCACAATTACCACGACTGGTCTGTTCTGTCGCGCACCAATGAGAAAGATAACTTTTGATGTGGCTTGCTTTACACAACTGTAACGCAGGCATGATATGATGCATAGAATCTTTTGCACAAATGCATGTGTACTTCTTGTTCTGGAAGTATTCTACTCCCGAGTTTAATAACGCCACTGAATATTAAATACACCACAGACGGACCAAAATTTAAAAATGAAAGAATTATAAAATTAACATGGCTGGGCAAGTCTAAGTCAATAGTGTCCTTTGCATGCTCAAAAACCAGAGTTTTGATGGTGCAACAGTCATTTTCAAATCCAGTGAAACTTGACGGTTAATCCAGTAGCTTTGTATACCCATATTTGAAGAGATGCATTTGTGTAAGGACACTGATGTACCAAAGCCAAAAAACTTTGTTAACTCGCAATAGTATTTCCATGTATAACCTAGACATATGTTTAGATTTTACACTCAAACCTGTATGTTGAAGTTTTTATTTACAACTTCAGGTCGTGGTGCACAACAAGATATCTCGCCAAGGGATTCAATGTCTGACAACAGCACAGATGAGTTTGAAGAAGGAACTATGGAAAATAAGGTATGTCCCTGATTACTGTAGCTTCTTGGTTCTTCAGTTCTGGCAGTTTTGAACTCTCAAATAACAAATGCCACTGGTAGCAAAGTGGCTTAGGATGATCTGTTGTAGCATTTCAATACTAAACAATGTACATGTATTAAGGTTACCACCAGGGACATCTTCATTATCAATTGTTTTACAACATCATACTCTGTCCTCATTAGGGAGTCAGCGTGAGTTATACATTATAATTGATTTTTGTATTATTGTTATTCAGCTTGAGAAGCCAGAGCAAATACACCCAATACAGGTACACCATAAAGTTATGTTGCTTTTTATATGCAATAACTAACCTTGTTTTAATTAAAGTACTACAGTCGCACTGCTGCAAGTATTTAAACTCCATGTAAACTAGCAATGTGTTTTACATGCATAATATATGTGACTATCGGTCCAATATCGAACACGACACTGCCACGACTGTAGCGCTTCAATCACACCAAAGTTATTTTTTAATTTTTAAATTTTTTTGTTTTTCAATTGTAATCATTACATTTTACCAAACTACAACCGCCTTTATGGGCTGCTAAAATTTTAACACATTCTGACACTTTCTAGAAAGGTTAATGCAAGCAAATGGTCATTAACCAATTTGAAAACCTTAATTTATTTCACACAAAAATTGTGGACAAAATTTTCAGTTTTATATTGATGTATTAACTATAATTGGCCAAAATGGACATAATTTCCATTTCCATATTTTGATTATAATTTGTCAATAATTTATCATTTTTGAATGGATGTAATGTAACATATTGAATGTATGTTTTCTTGTTTTTTATGTCCTGTTAGGACTTAGTTGAGTATTATTATTTAAGCAATGTATATAGGAGCAAACAGGGATTGAAAATATAATTTCCTGGTTTAGGATGTGAAACTTTTGTGGCACACCATGTAAAATGTATTGGGACGCCAGGTAAAATGTACCTGGGACTTGACAAACTTAATTTGGTATGTTTTCTGTAATGTGTTAAACTGTTTTATACTTTTTACAGTTTATCACTTTATATGTACATATTTTTTGTTGCACATGTTTTATTTTGATTGCATGAGGAATACTACATGTAACTATTAAAATACAGTCATCTTCCATATACTTGGTAGGTCCTCATGCAACATGTGTAGAAAATCTTGTCAGCGTGAAATTTGCTTCTTCAAAACCATGCCTCTATTTACAGTATTTATTGGCAAAAAGAGCGTTTATTTTTTTTTAGCAAACTGCTATATTCACTTCACTCACAATTTATATATTCCTATGAATAAGGTACATATGCCCTTGCATCCAAAAATGCTTGAATTCAGTGGTTTTCTATCTATGTGGATTTCATTACTCCATGTGGAAGTTCAGTTCAAATTTAACAGTGACGGACAATTGCATTTCTATTTGAAATTCTTATGATCACTCAATGTGGCTACTACCGGTATTCATGCATAGTTCAGTATTGGTAAATATTGCCACTATAAATATGTCACATAATAAATAGTCCAAAACACTGATATTACAAAAAACAAATTTCATTTATCTATCTTATCTTTTTAAGATTTTGAATGCCCTGTATCTTGTTTGTTATTGCTAAACTGGAAAATAGCCGTTGTGTACCTTCACTTCCTGTTTCCAGCTTCATGGACATATTCTTCATGTAAATTTCATTTGCTAAATGATGTCATGTACAAAATTCCCACTTGACTGTTGACAGGTCTCTGGCCTATTTTGTTTCTAAGTCGGATGAAATACCGCAAAATTAAATCATCGAAGGCATTTTTTTAAATACTGGCCTTTGGCATTTAAATAAAATGCCTTCATAAACAAATTAGACAGTCTACATTCCTAGCAGCATCTTGTTGACAAAGAACAAACAATCGTGTTATTAACTCAGTAGACAGTGAATGAAGCATGCAAACTTTCTGGTGTTAATGTTTTATAAATACTTCATAAATTTTCATTAAATTCACCGTAAATAATTGTTGGTAAATTGTTTATAAATTATTAACAGTTCTTTAAAGAGGTCCTGAGCATATAAATACAAACTCACCAAAAAAAAATATTTGTTCAATCAGCACTAGATTTTTTAAAATGTGTCGTTTATGAAACCGTGGTGATAGAGGCAAATAAAACATCATACTACATGATGTATATTGATTTCCAATTCATATCATCTTTACTGTAGATTCCTAAGTCACCTAAATGTAAAATGAAGGTAATACTACATGTATACAGATTTATTTATCATTGCGTTGCAGTTTGCATGATTCAACACTATTTCAGATAATCTTGTTTTTGTACGATTTACATAGTGGTTTTATGGTGGAATGAACAACTCACAAAATGTTCCCTCTGATGACTTACTAACTCAACTAGCCAGTATTTACTCACCCCCACCCTCAATGCTAGAGTTGAAGTGCTAAATTGAATAAATACTTTGTTGTTCATTTAACCATCTATGCGTGAAGTACCAACCATAGTTGTTGCATTTATTTACACATACTTGGCATGTCAAAGGTTTTAAATAAACTCTTTCCTCCAATGCATCTTTAAAAAGTGATTTATTTTAACATTGTTTTCTATGAAAAAAGTAGTTTTTGAATAATATTTGGCTATTTTTTCTTGCTTTCATTTTTCTTGTATAGTAATTAGTACTGTAACTTGTAATTGTATCATTAGCTGCAATGTATGTGATGAAAATCAACATACAATTTATGACCCACATTGACTTCTACCTTGATTTGTTCGTTTTTGACAGGCCAGACATTTTCAGGATTTCACTGCTCTTTTTTTTTCTTCTCTCTGAAACTTGTCTTGCATGCAATGAACAGCCTTCATTGTGTCATGGCACAGCTAGCCAAAAGGGGCAGGTTAAACTTGTAATGGATCAAGCATTCTGATTGGGCCATCAAGTTCTCATTCATTGTTGTTCTTTATATAGACCAGGGGCTTTCTTTTTCAACTCTCTAAAGTTGCGTGAAAATATAAAATTGTTTCGTTTGCTGTCACTTTGCACACAAATAGCGAAAATGACTACAACCATCTTAAGTACATGTATAAAGTCTGAGCAGGCAGACTGAATGGACATGGCAATTCTTACAGTATTGCAAACTTGTTTACAGAGAATGAAATTTGGAATGTTTAAAAATCACAACTCATGAATCCAGGGCCAAATTACTAGTTGCATATACCTGCATCCTACTTGCCATTCGCAGCAAACCTTAAATGTGTGCAGTCTGCCTGTGAGGGCAGTGTTTTTAAGAGGTCTGTGTTGAATAGGTGTCACTTGTACTACTATAAAACCATATATTTTCACTAATTTGATGTTTTGAAGGATTTCACTGGGTTTTATGTTCACAAACTTGAAAGGAAAACATTGAGTTTTATTGTTATTCTACATGTTCATATGAATTTAATTTAGCAAATTTTACTTATCAACGAAAATAGCGAAATTAAAACCAGCATTTACTAGCAACCATGCTTTTACAGTATTTCTGGACAGTTATTTCTACTCTTGTTATTTTGTTACGTACATGTATATTATGAATTATTTGACACCAAAAACAATAGAATTCATTTGTCCATAAAACTGTGTACGAACATGTTCAAAAGTCTTGTGTATGCATTTGAAAATCTTTGTTTGAAAAAGTTTTCACATCACATTCACACACTTACCTTGTTTACGTCAATCACAGCAACTATGTAGTGAGTGACGGAAACAGAATCACATCACAAAATGCAGACAATGAATCGTGAACATGAATACTTTTCACTGGCATTTCACGCCGTTATACATTTAGATGTTATGTATCTCACCAAATCATCACTTACACGCAGTAAAAAATGTACAGTGATAAGGTTATCACGAGAGTACTGCAAAAGCAAGCACGTAGACAGTACAAGATAGCATTGACCTTCACTAAGCGTAAGTCTTAATGCTACTTTGTGATATTCCCGTCATAACTTCCCGTTATTTTGTTTACATTATTTATGAAATATATTTAATAAGAAGGGATTTCTGTTTTTTTGTTGCAAAGCCTTCCAGCTTGATTGATCACAATATATTACTGGTAATGATGGAACACAATATTATTATATGATTATAATTACTCTCTTTATACTAAACCATGCTATCTGAAAACTCAATGTGTGTGTACGCCCTCTAAGCACGTTTATCATTGCTACAGATTTGCTCTCATTCAGACTGATTTATCTACTTTAATGTTCTGGTTGATGGAATAGTTTTTACAGTAAACTCAGCTTTTATGTCAAAGCTTACTCTGCACATGTCTGAGTCAAGATAACAATTGTCTTCTTTTCATTTTTTTTTTTTTTTTTTTTTTTTCAACTAAAATTTTCTTTGTTGCACTAAATGGGTAAACACATGGAGATACAAAATTGTATGTAATGGCATATTTCTAATACACATAGCATACAAATAGATGACAAATTAATTTTTGGGTCAGCATTAAATTAAACCACATTGTACTATTACAAGGATTAAATATTGTAAAATAATTTGTGAAAAACACAGTTCCCTGCCTCTTTTAAAATGTATTACTTTTATATTTTGAATATGAACTGTTGTCTCTGGTCCTGCAGGCTTTACATGTACAGTTCTGTTAATTTCTTTGTTAACTTTGCATGAATTTTTGGAATAATGATGTATTCTCAGTGACCAATGATAATATAGCATATCTTCAGAGGTATATGTAGCATGTTATTTTGGCTAAATTCATTCCTAATTCAGACATGCTGTCAAATTAAAAAAAATAACATGCAGCTATTTCAGTACATATAAAGCCATACAGTAAAAATGGTCATGAAAATACATATTGACATTACTGTGGAATATTTTATTTCGCTTGGAATTAATTTTCGCTGTTTTTGCTGAAGAAATGATTCAGTGAAAATAAAATCTAGCGAATATACATTTTTTCTATATTTTACATTCCACTCGTCAAAAATCAGTGAAAATAAATTCCATACAAAACACCCAAAAAAGGTATTCTTTGAAAATTAATTCCAGTATTCTACAGTATTATTTTTAATTACTCTTACACTTTACTCTTTATTCCCTCTATTGTATTTGCATTTTTTTAACTAAACAATAAATTATATTATGCAGCCAAATAGAAACCCGCACATGTAATTAAATATAGTGATATAAATACAAGCAATATTCATGAAAATGCTACCAATTTCCAAATTATTTATCTTTTTGTGCAGCCCATAGGACAGCTGCCTCAATCCAAAGAACAGAAGCCGTATAACACTGACGACGATGATGATGATGATGACGAAGATGGGACGGATTCGTCAGATGACGACGATGAAGATGACGACGATGATGACCACGGTGTTGCACTTGAAGGGTACGTTATCGTATGTTCTCGTATACAAGTGAACCAACATTATATTGCTCCGATATATTGCCCCTTATTCTGTCAGTCTATGGACATTGAATCAATGCACTTGCATCAACCATTTACTCAGTAAAAGATGGCATATTTTGCATAACCAGGATTTGAGCAGGCACTCAATCTCAAGACAAAAATTTCTAAAATTAGCTCTTATTTATTTTCTGAAGGGCATTGAATCGTTCAGGTGAAGCATATATGCTATTATATACATGCTGTTCCTGAATTTTGAGTCTCATAGAAATGTTTAAAAAGCTGTTGGTTCGATAAAAATGCATGGTGATTATTTTATGTCCTTGACTAAACACTGCAGACTTTTTCATACGATCTATAATATTACCTATAAATGTATTTTTTGTAGTTGAGATCTCTTTGAGTGTAGTACAGTGCTTGAACTTAGTACAAACTTAGTACTCCAATGTGCTGGTCCTGTTCACAGTGCATGTTACAGAACCAAGGTGCCCTTATTGCTAGGGAGTTAAACACCTCTGCTCTCTCTTTTATTTGCCTTTGTAATAAGGTTTTGATTGTTGATCTGACAAATAAAATTAAAATTGAAAATTGATTAGAGAAATACCTGGTTCCTGAACTTCATTGGAAGAATCAAGATAATGTTTTCTTTATTGTAGTGCCTATGATCCAGCTGATTATGAACATCTCCCGGTACAACCAGACATCAAAGAACTATTCCAGTATATCACTAGATACACACCACAGTCAATAGAACTTGAACACAAACTAAAACCATTCATTCCAGATTTTATCCCAGCAGTTGGCGACATTGATGCATTTCTCAAGGTAAATAATTTGATGCCAGCTATATAGTCTAACATGTGAATGAAATCATTCAGGTGTCGCATGTAAGCAATCTTTTTCATGGCCTTCATGAATTTTGAGTCTTGTTGTGAAACATGTTTAAGTTGCTTTTGGTCCATAAAAAAGCCTGGTGATTATCAATGTTTTTTTTTGTGAACGATACACTACAAAGACAGTTGGACGGGGACTTATGTTTTGCCCTGTGTGCGTCTGTGCATCCCTGCATCCGTGCGTCCGTGATCACCTGTATTTCGAACATGCATGGACCGATTAAGTTCAAACTTCACTCATACATCACACATTATATGGGACATATGCACATGCATTTTTTTCATAATCTGATTAACGAAAATGCATCAAAATCGCACATTTTCACCATTTCGTACCCGGATCTCAGTTATGCATGGACGGATTTTGTTCAAATTTGGTACATACATTAAACATAATAGGACCTTGATGCACATCATTTTTTTTTTCGGATCAAGTTCGAAATGGCCGACTGGCGGCCATTTTGTTTTAAAGAATTCAGTTCTGTATCCGTATCTGAGACATGCCTGGATTGATCGAGTTCAAACTTCACACACACAAAGTACATCATGTCACAAATATGTATGTGCATTTGGTTCATGATCTCATTAACGATAGCCAAATGGCGGCCGCTTTAAGGCCGAAAATGCATTGAAATCGCACATTTTCACCATTCCGGACGGATTTTGTTCAAATTTGGTACATTAAACATAATAGGACCTTGATGTACGTCATTTTTTTTCAGATCAAGTTTGAAATGGCCGACTGGCGGCCATTTTGTTTTAAAGAATTCAGTTCTGGATCCGTATCCGAGACATGTCTAGATTGATCAAGTTCAAACTTCACACACATCATGTCACAAATAGATATGTGCATTTGTTTCATGATCCGCTTAACAATAGCTGAATGATGGCCATTTTAAGGCCGAAAATGCATCAAAATCACGTATTTTCACAATTCCGGAACCGGATCTCAGTCATGCATGGATGGATGGATTTTTTTCAGATTTAGTACAATGTGTTGTACCTATGCAGGTGCATTTCAGATCAGACCACTGAAAGTGGTCTGAGATTTCAGTCATGATCTGCTTTGAATGTACAAAATGTATATGTCACTCAAATATGAACGGAACGGGGACGTGTCATTGACAATGACTTGTTAAATTATATTCACTCAACAAGTAAATTTCTTAAGTTGTCTCATGCGCTTCTAATCTTACTTTCTATTGAGTTATCACTCCACTTGCTTATCACTCACCCAATCAATAACCACCACTCTCTCAATCAATACAATTTTGTAATGATTTGATTAGCACACCTTCTCCAAACTATTTTTAGCTTCCAGCTAATTTTCACAAGAAAAGGCTTGGTGCTTGGCTTATGACATGAAGACAGTATATCTAAAGTTACAGCAAAAATTATAGGCCAGTAAATAATTTAGAAAAAGAATAAAATAATTTAATATTTTTTGTAAAATTCTCTTTCAGATTTCTGAACCAGATGGTAAGCCATCTACACTTGGTCTCATTGTATTAGATGAGCCGTGTGCTCGGCAGTCGGACCCAACAGTTCTTGATCTACAACTTCGCGCCATATCCAAACAGACAACCACAAAGTCAGTTCAAGTGCGAAGCATAGAAGAAGCTGACAAGCACCCCAAGTCAGTACAGAGCTGGATTGATAGTATCAATGATTTACATCGGTCAAAACCTCCTCCCACTGTACAATACAACAAGTAAGTCACTAATACTTTATTGACTTTGATGAATATTGTCAGTCAAACATGCAATTCCAACATGCAAAATGAACGTATGTTTGTCTCTGTGCTTATCAAGGGATCCGGAAATGAAACATTGTCAAAAATATTATGGTGTACCGTATTTGCTCTTTTAAATTGCATCTCCAATAGAAGCACACACATAACCCAATAATTGTATTCGCTGTATCCTGGCGTATTAAAATATTAACACAGTCACTCTGTCATTTACGTAAGCGTATAATGAATTGAGTTATGATGCTTTCAATGTATGATATGAACTTCAAACATACACAGTAGTTTTACAATACCCACGTAGCTCCTTCCATTCCTTGTTGCTGCTTCATAAATACATGTACCTACCAAGGAGCTCACTTAGCTCTCTATATAACTAGTTGCTACAGTGTACCACCATAAAACATATCGGGTACCAAGAAGGCCGCTTGGCTCGCTACATACCGTATTGTCATACTCCTGTATTGTCTGTCTAAATGTAACATAAAACACTGCTATTCTAAACTAAAGTTTATCATTTTGTACAGAACCATGCCAGATATCGACTCCCTCATGCAGGAATGGCCGGCAGAGTTTGAAGATTTACTCAACAAAGTTGGTTTACCTACTGCTGACTTAGACTGTGATCTCTCAGAATATGTTGAAATGATCTGCGGCATTTTAGATATACCTATTTATAAAAGTAAAATACAGAGTCTACATGTATTGTTCACACTCTACTCAGAGTTTAAAAATTCACAAGTAAGTCGTTCTTTTTTGTATTCCCTTTTTTGGTGGTCATTTTTTTCTCCTGGTTTTGGATCTTGTCCACCAACAAGATGACTGCAGCCAGGACTCAGACTGCACATAAAAAATAAATAGGGAACATTGTAAGATTGATGTATGCTCTTCTGGGAATTTAACTGAATGTTAATAATTGCATTTTCGCCAGATTAGTATACAGCCTGAAATTTGCATACAATGTATGCCGTAATACTGTACATGCACCTAATTTATTTGAGATAAAATGTTTTAGCATTGTGATATTTTACCTATACCATACTTATTTTCCCCAAACTTGATATATGGTTGATACATGATGATTAAACATATTCCCCACATTTGTTTTTCTGTTCATATAGATAATGGCTGACTGGCAGCCATATTTTTACCAAAAAAAAAATCCTAAAAACTAATTTTGTATCTGTAGAGTAGAGCATTATAGAGTTTTTCTGGTCGATTGTGTTCAAACATGGAATATGGGTAACACCTGTTGACAAAACTGAGACGCATTCATTATTTTTCAATTATTTTTCATATGACTTGAGAATACAGTTACTAAGTTTATTCAGATTTGGTACAGAGGCAGTATACTGTTTCAGGAAAATGCAAGTTGAAAATTACTGATATAGCCTATTTGCCACACATTCTTGGAATGATGTTTATTTATTTGATTTCTTTCTTTTGTTGCAGCATTTTAAAAATCTTGCAGCTGAAAATAAACTAGACAATGCTCTGAGGGTAAAAAGTAATGAAAGACTTGGATCTGGTGGTCAGCAAACTGGAGAACAGGACAGATTTGTTTTGTGATCTTAGAAAACAACTTCCAGCATAAACATTATCCACTGTGATCATCACAAGACATCCACACTTTGCTGTTTCTGACTAGTGATTTGTTGAATTAGCATAGCAATGGGTGTCCCTAGCTTAAGAAATACACTGTTGTGAACAGCAAAGTGTTGATGATATTATAACATAGTACATGCAATATATTTTTTCAATTTTTTCAATTGATGACATCATTCATTATTGATAACCTGAGAAGAACTTTCCACTACAGTTAAAGCCAGACAAGAAAATATCCTCTTTTATTGGACCCATCCGCATCAACCTGATTGCATTTTGGAATTATTTAAAAAAAAAATGTTTGCTTTTGGGTAGAATCTGATAAACAATCAGATTTTATTTTGGCCTAACCTGTAAATGCATACTATTTTTGCTTGGTTTTTAACAGTACAGCAAAGTCACTTTTTAAAACATGCATACACAAATTTGATTACATCCTGAATACAAAACAATACATGTGTATCTAGTACCATATTTGTTGTACGTGTGGTTGTATGAATGATAGGTGTCTATGATGGTAAAAAAAAAATTATATTTCAGTAATCAAGTAAACAATAAATGCAACTTTTTGTTTACTTTCTGTATATGAACATGCATTCCAATAGAATGAATACAGTAAACCATATTTGCTCTATTAGAAAACCAAAAATTGCATTTTTCTATACTGAATCATTGAAATATTACTTATTTTGATGACAGAAGCTATCTGTATTTTACATAAGTGCATTTGCTATTAATAGCAATTACAGTATGCATTATTGTACAGCTGTGAATTAAGAATTACAAAATGTCACATGATTTGAAATTTCCTTATTTGGGAAAAAAAAACTGATTGACGTGGCATGCATGTTGAATCATTGAACATGCAAAAACAGAAACCTTGAAAAATTACTTTAATTCAGTTGGTGATAAATAACATTCTTGAAAATGTAGCTCCTATAAGTCTGATCAAGTACCTTAATTTCATGCACCTTCAAACAGCTTGCCTGTAAATGTGAACCCACATTTTAGAAGCATTCTAAAACACTATGTACTTGTGTTCGGAGGAGCTACATACACACGCATGTCTATGCTGGACCTGTCAACTGGTAAGCTGAAACATTCCAGCTGTTCTGCTAAATCTCATCTCTGCCGTCCATAATACTACTTATACAAATACACAAATAATGTGAGGCAAATACATTGTACAAAGAAAAGAGTATCCATGATGCACCGCTTAATTTTATTGTAAATATTTATATATTTTTTCTCTAAAAGTAATTCTGCAGATTTTATTAAATGTCATTTCTATTTGTTGTGTATCATGTTTGAATCAGAATTCAATGTTATGAATCACAGAATATTAGAACAAAAATCTCTCATGAAAATGTGTCTATTATTTTACACTTCTGGTATGATTTTAATCAGATAGCGCATAACTATACAGACTTCACTTGTAGTTTACAAAATGTGAACATAAATGTAACTCAGTTTTTTTTGTCTCCCCTGATTTTTTTTTTTTTTTTTTTGTATGTGCAAAAAATGTTATCATAGTTTACGACATTGCCATTTAACTATATCGACTTCGCTCATAGTTTGCAAAATTTTCACGTAATTGAACAGACTTTTGCTCGTAGTTAACAAAATTTGTACATAACTATATCAATTAAGCTTGTTGTTTACAAAATGTCCATGTAAGTGTACCAACTTTTGCTCTTAGTGTTGCAGAATTTCTTTGTAACTGTAGCAACTCTATTTTAGTTGTCACACGGGTGACACCTGGTAAAACCTGTACCGGTGTCTGACTTGGCGGGCCTTCTCAGTTATTAGGGGCTTACAGAATATTCTGTTGAGCTTAATACGGGGTTAAATTTCCTAGTTGTCTTGGAAACTTGTTTACCATCACTTGTCCGAAGGAAGTTTGTAACTAAGTAGGTCGTTCTTACCATGCTACACAAGCTGTATCTTTGGGGCAGTGGGATATGGCGTAACAAGGAGTGTGTCTGCTTAAAGTGGTCAGGTGCATTTAGTGGTGTGAAATCGAATCTCGCGTTTCATGCTATGTGTTTGTACAAGTGCCTTATCATAAACACTAGATTAGTCAAAATGATATTATTAGTGATGTTAGAGTTGACTTCAGAAAGATTCATTCCACTGTTGATAATTTAGGTTTGATAAACGCAAGACACTTATCTCTATTTTATTCCACATTCTAGTGTTTCAAACCCACTCAAGTATTTAGGCAACTATGCCCATTGAAGTAAATGATGCCTTGGTAGTTACCTAATTCCCCCCATCCCATATATTGCTACAGTTCGGTGCGTGTGTAAATTCATAAGGCACCTCTCACAACTTGTCAGCAGGTGCTAAACGAAAGAAAAACAAATGTTAAGAGTGAATGTAAAATTTTCAACGAGGGCGCACTTTGAAACCAGCCAGATTACAGTGTTGGGAAAATGGCTCGTTTTGAAGTGTTGCTGTAGGCCATATATCTGATCGTCACCATTGATTTACAAGAGTATATCGGCCCGTTGCTTTGTCTGAGCCCGGGATAGAATTACCGAAGGAACGCACATAAGTTCTTTGTTGCTTTCTTCTGCACATCGAATAGCGAGGTTCCGATTACTTCACGAAACGGTATAACGACGTGTGGCATTATTGCATTCATCGTCTTCGGCGCGTCGGGGAAATAGATATATACTGCAATATGTGTTTACAAACAAACTCGTTGTGTAGGCGAGAATCACAGGTGTCTACCATGGGATTATATTTATATATTGCTAAAAATAACACCGAATACAAATATATCTTTGCGTGCACCTCGTATTATGCTAATTATTTTGACGCCCGGTGTACTATTTCATGTGCAAAAAATACTGTATTTTTTCTGACTAAAAAAGAATGAATTTTACAATGTCAAAAACTAAGTCTTTACCGTAATGTTTTCCCTTGTTGCTTAGCTAGCATGTATTTAAATGCTGCGTAACGTCATGGCACACATGAAATCAGGGTATTTGTTTGACTACAGAAGAAATTGCCCAATAAACATGACAATAATTTCTATATTGTTATATAAATAAATATAACACAGCATAAATTGCAATATTCTGTCGTCTTGTGTCGCCACGATTTGAATTTTATTACGTAGTGCATAAAGATTAGTCAGACAATCTTCATAGTAACGTTGGTTCACCACCTATTTGAATCTCTTTTAAATTACTTCGTGTTACGACCGGGTAGGGCTTCTTTCAATGTAGCGTTACGCTGACGAGAGAAAGCGCCCATCTTATTTATCATTCACTGTATCAGTTCTCGGATATTTTCTTGATAAAATTGACGCCAAATGTGTAAATGAACATATCTGCCCTCCCCCATATCATCGTCTTTGAACATGTTCAACAGTCGGTTTACCTGTTCACGAATATAAATACAAGACTTCGATAAAATTTCAACAAAACATGAACAATAGCTATGTTCGCGCACAGTTTCTTAGCACGGGTTAATAGGTCAAACATTCCAGTCCTTGTGCGAACGCTTAGTACGGGCTACGAGACCGCAAGTAGGAACTAAATCTCACCTACTTTTAAGACCAGGTCTAGACCCGGAGCACGGTCAGCGCGGGCTAATTGTATCATTTAAGGTATAGATGCAGGTTCGTGGGCACTTGAGAGTGAATTTTCTTTTTTTTTTGCTTTTTATTATCCAAACAGTCTTGGCTATAGACTGTTAAAATTTCACAGCATTGTGAATAGTGAAACATACTCAAAAGTCGATTTTAAAATATAGAAAACTGGTACAAACATTCTCTCTTTTGAATGCTTAGCAAGATTTAGCAAGGCTGTACATAAATAATCAAACGGGACGGGATCTCCATATTATGCACTATATTTAACTTTTTACAAAACGATAATAGGTTTAAATTTGGAATTGTTACAGCCATTTTAATTATGAGCATTAGCAAACTTCTTACTGAGTGAATGGTTATGCAAATTAGCGATTATCTCCACTTGTGTTTTTCAGTTTACCATGGAAGTTCAAATCTAAATAGCTCGCACAATTCTTGTTTATTTTGAGTAAAATGGCAAGTAATGAGACTGTACCCAGAGTCAATGTTTTCAAGAAAAATGAAATACGTGACTCTTCGTACTACTTCTGGTTATTCTGCAAATGCACATATGGGATTAGCTTTAGTCCTTGCCCGTATTAGAGTGTAGAATAAACACGATCTTAGTTGACTGATTGATTGATTGAAGATTGTGTGAATACTGTGTTGAACCATAAACCTTAGAAAGAAGGTATATGGTTTAATGTCTATGGTTGAACGCAACCAATTGTATATTTCGAACGAATAAACCATGGCTACCACGCTACAAACATATAAAACAGAAGTTTTGCCCGTTTTTTTTTTTTTTTTTTTTTTCTAATACAACAAATTATTTTTTGTTTGCGTTCAGTCGAGCAACGGGAATCACTTATACATAGTACGTCCATGGTTATACCAACGATAAAATTTTGTCTGTAATTTTGTTATAAACAACAAGAACTCATGTTGGAAATTGTCACCTCTATCACTGATTATGGGCTGGTACTATTAGTATTTGCTATGTCTGTTGCCAGCTAAAATGAGGGCGGTGTGAAATATGTTATACAGGACGACTTTCCACGTAGTTTATTTATACGGTGAAATTAAAATAAAAGGGACTTACAAATTCCATACAACGTATGTACAAATATGGAGATATCAGCTTAGTACGAAAACGTCTCATATTTTTAGAACAGTTTCATAATGTTTGTAAGCAACTTGGATGTCATGTTCAAAACTTCTTAGCAGATGCGTGTTTTTTGTTCGTATATTAATATATTAATCCAATTAATTTGCATTGTGGTATTATACCCCATCGTGACAAACAACACGATTTACATATCAGTTAAAGACGACGCCAGGCATGCTGTCCTCTATGTAGGACAACCGCATTGCACAAGGTGTTCACAATTGAAAAGTTCTCATAGTTATCTCACCTTATCGCTCCAAATAAACGGAAGAGACGTATTCAGTGCAACTCTGTTATTAAAATAATATTTTGGGCGTGTTTATCTTGCAGTATCAGCTACTCAATCTTCGTCATCGTTGAGGGCGTGCCAGAATATTTATATTGATAACTATTACTACAATAGTGAATGATATTGTCTGTGGATGAAAGACCGCCCATCAAGGGGCTATCTATAACATTTGCTTCGGACATTGCATACCCTTCATATCACATCAAATTTCAAGATGGTGACTCTTTGGAGGTTCTGTATAATACATATGTCACTGATAGTTTTGGTCAGCGGCGCGGATCCGTTGTGTAAGTTGTCAACATTACACATTCACCATACGTATGTATGCAAGCGCGTGTTCGAAATTTACAATTACTCTGTGACGTGAATGAATTCGGATCCACGACTGTGTTATCGCTCTCGGTACCCATTGATGACGTCATTAGTTGTTTTCAGAATCATTTCATGTTATAACTCACTTATACTATATACAAAATGAGACGTTTTTATTTCTAAGTTCCCAACATTGTGACATTAACTATTTCAGTGTATTTTTTTAAAGATGACGTTCATACAAGATGTCGTATGTTCAAAATGCGGTAAACATATAATTTGTCATCATGTACCAATTTCCCAAAAAATATGTCATTCTAGTTGGCGTCGTTTATTATTACTTCTCTAAGCTTGATTCAACAGAGACCGGAGCTACTCTTGTGCGATCATCATTTTTACATTACAACGAATGTTCCCTCTCATTTAAAGCGCGGTGGTCGTCGCGCAGCGCGTGTTCGAATTTCATGTAAATAAGCAATGTATTTTACACGCGTTGTATGCGTCGCTATGGGTCCCATATCGAACAGAACGCGGCGTGAAGACTGCCGCCCTTTAAACACAATATTCATGCCATATTTTGTCAACAGTGGGGTATGATGCTGACCCAACCCAAGTATCAGTCAGTGGTCTCGGAGGTGGCGCCTATATGGCAGTACAGGTACAGGTAGCGTATTCTTCCCGTATAATGGGTGCTGGCACACTGGCAGGAGGTAGGTTATCACATGATGGCCATGTCTAATGGCCTTATGATCACGTATAGATATCACCTGGTCAGGTGTATTGTACGGCCACACCGTTCTTCTGATCACGTCTATTTAGTCACAACATCGTCACGTAT